AACTCTGCAACAGCACTTAAATACCACATAGCTTGAATAGAAAACCCATCGTGTGCTGCACATTTGGCCAATAAATCTTCCATTGACATTCTTTGTACAATTTTTAACATACCTGTTTTTTGCTTGTTTCTGTGTTAGCTGATTGGGCTGAGCGGGGCTCTTCCTTTTTATTGATCTTATGTTTTGCTCAAAGATTGTTTGCCGAATTTGATGTACTCCCACCTGCTCACTTTAAAACGGAATGGCATATGTTTCATTTTGCCACATTGGTGTTTCTTTTTGAAACATTTGCCATACTCCTTATTTTTTCATACTTAAGTTAAAATAAAAAATTTTGTTTTTTTATTAATTATTAAACATTAACTTTTATCAATGTAAAGTAATATTAATACTTTTTTTCATTATTTCGAATCTTATAAACTTGGATCATCTTTTAAGCCTCTTTTTTCCTTTCCAATCCTTCTTTTTTTGTGGCTTATTTTTTACTTTTATACTATTCATAACTGAATATATACTTAACTGAAACTTATGGATGTTATCTGTTTACAAAAGTATAATGTAAAAATATACCACAATTTATAATATTTAAAGTAATACTAAAGTCAAAATTACAAAAACAAATTTGTTTGTGTTGTTAAACTATTTTAATTTGAGATTATTATTTAACAATCTCAAACCAAAAAAATTAAACAGCAAACAAAATGAAACAATAAACAAAAATAAAAAAAAATAAAAAAAGTTGAAAAAACACTTTAAGTTAGTGGTACTTGTCTTTTTTCGATTGTTTTGATTTAAAATATAAATATTGTTGAAAGATTTTGTCAGTATGTATTTTATTAATAATTAGTAGAAAAAATATTGAAATAAAAAAAAAACTAAATGCAATATTTAGATATTCCTATGTTTATGAACGGTAATGCACTCGATGAGTCATTACTGTTCTACCCTTCATCTTCTAAAATTTATCTTACCTCTGATCTTTTCTTGGAAACAATATATCAAATTCATTGCAAAACCAGCATCTGCTAAGGTTGCATCTCTTTATCGTACTTGACACTTTCTTACTTCAGACTCTATTCTTTATCTCTATAATCTGAAGCAGATCTTCCAATGATGCATTGTATATAAAAATGCATAGTTGGACCTGCTTTTGCAGCCAAACTCCAACCATTATCACATTGTCATAATGATACTTTTCTCTGTCTTTTCTACAAATACTATAATAGGCACTGCTCTAAAGAACTTGTGTCTCTTGTACCATCTACTAAAATTTATTCTCGTGTTATTCGTCGTTCAGTTAAGTCTCATCCTTTTACTGTGACTGTTCCTAAGTGCTCTAAAAATTCTTATTTATCTAGTTTTTTTCTTCAAACATCAGTTCTTTGGAACTCGCTTCCTTCATTTTGCTTTCTTAATTCATATAATTTGCAATCGTTTAAGTCATCTGTTAATTTTTATCTTGCTCTGTAAACTTTAACTTTTCTCTTCCAGTAACTTCTAATTTTAATAGTGGTTAATTGCAGCCTTGTTGGAAGTCAAGATATTGGAAAAAAAAAAGTGATTTTTGAAATTACATATATTTCTACTATTTGTTATTCTATTTGAAATTATTATCAACTTTTTAGCTTGTCAAAACAAGGAATTAAGAGAAACTACTAGTCTATTTAATAATGTATAATTAACTACAGGTTTTTCATTTTTTTAGAAGAAAAAAAAGAGTTTTCAGTTTCAAGAAAACTGAACAAAAAACCAGTTAAATGGTTGCGGTTTCCACCAGTTGCCAAGTTCTAATTTGCATTATTTATTACATATTTTTTCCCAATAAATATGTATTTTTTATGCTAAACATAGCATCACCATTTCTCCATATGTTAAAAACACCTAATGACTTATCTACAAAACAACATAGAACATCAATCCAGCACTTTTCTCCTTAAGGAATTATCTAAGATATCAAAATGTTTGATAGCTTTTTCAAATAGCTATTTATTATATTATAAACATAATATTATTATTATTATGTTTATAAAATTTAAATTATTTTATTTATTACTTTGTAGTCTCCCTCAATAATATTATGGTATTAATAATATTATAAAGTTACACCCCTCAAAGTGTTTTTGAAATGTTATATTGATATGGAGAACATTTTAAAGAAGCCAAACATTTACAAGAGTTATTTTTAGGACAATCCTAGCTTACAGACATACTTATAATGTACCCAGATTTGTATGGCTGTCTTAAAAAGGCTTTCTTTTTTTGGGTAACCTGAAAATAAACAAATCACGTTGTCAATGAAAATAGAAAAACATTAATTTTTTGCTTAACTTATTATATTTACGTAATATTATATTATAATATTACAATATCTATACTAAAAATGAATTATTCACAAAATTTTAAAATTTATAGAAACTATAATATATCTATATCTACAGCCACAATCAAAAGTTTGGAACATTTTTAAAATTTGCAGAAAATTTTAAACATTTGTCTAAAA